GGGAATTTGTCTAAAAATGTGTTGCAGGGAACTGTACGCGTAATCAAAAATAAGCAAACAATTTACCGTAAATTTAACGATTATTTTCAGCTGATTTTGTTATCTCAAACTTAGTTTGATTATTATTATGGATGTTCAAAACTTCAAAACCAATGCTAAAGTATCAAAAGTATCGATTGATAGATTTTTTAAGTATACGAAGGGGAAATGCAATATTATCCTTGCTAAATTAATTTTCATATATTTACTTCATTCGTGTTTTCAACTTATTATAATAATATGTTGATTATTTTATACGTGTATCTATTCTGTTATAAAGAGAATTGAGTTGTAAAAATGAAAGTAGTTTGATCAATAATCGACTATATTGGAGTCATTTTTGTGGCGTCTCCACTCGCATTTAACGTCCATTGTAGAAGCTTACTGGTCATCAATGCAAAAAATGTGATATAAAGAGTATGACGTGCATTATTTCATGCACGTTATTTACTTAGAATCAACCTCTTTTGCCACTGAAAAACTACATACTTTCCAATAAATATGGAAGTGGAGGAAATGACGCCAAGCTGCACGAGGTTATTTCGTGCGTTAAATTCATGCCGTTTAAATTGATGAGATAAGCAAATCGTCGATGGTTCTCAGGCGACTATGCCTTTGACTTATTGATTTGAACCCTTTTCTTGGTTTGTTTAATGATCGTTGTCAATTTTCATTGAGATTGATCATGATTGGGTTTAGAATAGAGTGTGTTGGAGAAGGAATGTTTTTAGAGGAGAAGTGAGATCACCATTACGAAACTGGACAGACGCCGCAAGGCATTAATTGTCTTTAAACGCTTGTTGTTGTTGTTTGGACTTAGAATCAGTCTATGTGTTTTTTTAAAATATTTTTTCGCAATTTTATCATTTAATTTTTTGGTTTTTCCCTCTTGATATCATTTAAATGCTCTCCTTCTTCATAACGAAATCAGATATTTCAGCACCTTCCTTCACTTTTTACACTTTTATTGCGTCTTCTTTAACGTCAATATAGCATACTTCTGCTCATTTTCCTCCCTCATTTCATTCATGAGTTTCATAATGTTCTTATAGTTTTCTTCAATTTTGATGCAATCGACCACATATAAACATTTTCCTATTCGAATCAAATTCTGATCACATTTTGAATATATGTTGCTTACAAAGCTGTCAAGCAGTACAATCATTTTACAAACTTTGCGGCGGTCGATTTATTACCAAGATCACAGTGGCAAAAGAGGATGATTCTCGATTCAATACTTGATGATAACGGCAAAATGAGCATTTCAATTCAATAACGATTTGAATTATTTAGTTGTTTTTTCTCACATTAGCCACGAACTTCAATATCCACGTCCACGTACAAATCATATCTATTTTATGTCCGTGAGTTTGTGTTCATTTGTTTCAAATTGAAAATGTGGTAAAAAATTAAAATAACACATGTTAACACAGTACTGAATGCATTTCATTTCACTTCTTAATTTCAAATACAATAACGTTATACCCAGCAAATTGTAATTTTCAAATGAATGTGTAGTTTTTAGCATGGATGAAGTCGATAGTATTCATAAATTTTCTTTGGCACATTTGCC